ATGTCTTCAGTTTCTTGCATGCATATTTCTTTCTTTCTTTCTTTCTTTCTTTCTTTCGTGCAGCCATAATGAAAGACTTATCAAGAACTAGAGTACCCTCGTGAAATTTTCTTTTTTTTTTCCTCTTTTTTGTCATTCATTCATTTTCGTGTGTTTTTTCTAAGTAAAACATTATTCTTTTTCTATTCATGTCAAACGTACCAGGACTATTTTTTTAAAGCGTTTCAACCCAAGCAAGGCGGGAAGCCACTAGGACGCAAGGGGCTACAGAAAATTTAGAGCAAGATCAGATAGGAGTGATAGAAGAAAGGATGAGGAGAAGGGTAGTGGATAGATCAAGGCAACTGGAGATGTCGATTGACATTACACTTGAATAGCTGGAGATTATAGCTCTCAGGGAAACTGGAATAAGGAAGGGATTTCCACAGGCGAGAGGTGCAAGACATGAAGCTATTGGAGTAGAAGAGACGGCTACATTTAGGAGTTTCGACAGTGAAGGGGTGAGAGCGGGATGCCAGCCTCGTAGGGCGCTTGAACTCATGAAGTCAGGGAACCAGCGATTGTAGCTCCTCGGAGTAATTGCCATGAACGTATTTGTAAAACAGACAGAGAGAGGCGACTGCGCGTCTGTGAGAAAGTGACTGTAGACGAGATGCCAGAGCAGGGCCAATTATATTGCATATCTGCCTCTGGAGCCTATCAAGAACCCCGAGGCAAACAGAAGGGGCTCCAGACCATATATGGCAGCAATACTCCATGCAAGGGCGAATTGTTGATTTGTAGATCTGGAGGATCGATTCCGGGGAGAAAAATTTTCCTGGCGCGGCAAGGGAGCCAACTTTCCTTACGGTGGACGAAGCAATTGATTCAATATAGTTGTTCCATCTCAGGTCAGCAGTCAACGTGAGACCGAGCAGCCGCAGAGAGGCGCTCTTGAGAAGTTGAGCGTTGGCTTCTTAAAGATATTTTTTCTACTTTATTGAATCATTTTCATTTTTTGCTTTTCTCGTCTTCATTCATTCATTTTCATTTTTATTCTACATTCATTCTTTCCTCTTTTTCTTCTCCATTCATTCATTTGCCTTTTTTCTTCTTCATTCAATCCCTTTACTTTTCTCGTCTTCATTCATTCATTTTACTTTTTATTCTACATTCATTCTTTCCTCTTTTTCTTCTTCATTCATTTTCATTTTTACGTTTTTCTTCATCCATGCATTTTTCTTTTTCTTTTTAATCTTCATCTATTCATTTTCATTTTTTCTTTTCTTCTTCATTTCTTCATTCATTTACCTTTTAATTCTTCATTCATTCATTTTCGTTCTTCCTTCTGGCTAAAACCTCATTCTTTTTCAATTTTTTCTTCTCAAACATTCTTGGCATTCTTGTAGACATACTTTCTTCCGTTCTTATTTCATTCATCTGTTGGATGATTTCGTTCTAATGAGATTTTCAATTGATCTCCGAAGTTAAGGAGTTTCAAGCCCGACCAGTACTTAAATGAGGGGTCACTTTGGAACACCGGGAACTATAAGTGACCTCCTATGCTCAGAAATACGTTTTGGCTTTAAATTACCCTCATAGGGTAAATAAGCCCTAAATAAATAAGCCAGTCAACCAATTCTTCATGCTGAAGTTTATTTTTTTTTTCAGTCGAAACATCCTTAGTCATGCTTTTTTAAATATATATATACATATATATATATTTCTTTCTTTCTTTCTTTCTTTCTTTCTTTCTTTCTTTGTTAGTTTCTTTCTTTCTTTTGTCTGCATTAGTTCTTTCTTTCTTTCTTTCTTTCTTTCTTTTGTCTGCATTAGTTCTTTCTTTCTTTCTTTCTTTTGTCTGCATTAGTTCTTTCTTTCTTTCTTTCTTTTGTCTGCATTAGTTCTTTCTTTCTTTTTTCTTTTGTCTGCATTAGTTCTTTCTTTCTTTCTTTCTTTCTTTCTTTTTTCTTTCTTTCTTTCTTTCTTTTGTCTGCATTAGTTCTTTCTTTCTTTCTTTCTTTCTGTTCAACTACCAGAAACGCGCACTCTCATCAAATCATCATCATCACTAGTCATCACTAGAGTCATTATCATTAACTACTAATGTTGAATGAATTAGACATTAGGCTTTACGGGCCTCCCCGTTTCCTTTTATAGTTTACTTTCTACTTATTTCTTTTGTTGTTATTGTTTTCGGCGGCTTCCCGCGTCTTTTGACTGTCGTATCGCTCCTCATGTTAGTTTTTGGTGTCTGCCTGAAGCTCTTTACTCGCCAACCAACCAGCACGATTGCCAGACAGAAACCGTGTGAGAACAACATGAACAACTAACAGTTTATTTTCTCCGCATTTTTTGTTCCTTTCTTTTTACTTTTCTTCCTTCATCCCGTTCATCCTTTGCTTCCTTTCCTCAATTTCATTCCTTGCTTTCATTCCTATCCCCATTTCCTCATTTCTCCCTTTTCACTTTCGTTTTTTTCCTTTCTTCCTATTTTGTCCTTCTTTTCTTTTCTTCCTTGCATTCTTTCTTTCTTTCTTTCTTTCTTTCGTTCTTTCTTTCTTTCTTTCTTTCTTTCTTTCGTTCTTTCGTTCTTTCTTTCGTTCTTTCTTTCTTTCTTTCTTTGCTTCCTTACGTTTCTTCCATTTATTCTATATGTTTCTTTGACTTTTTTCGCCATCCGTTTTTCTTTTTCACATTCATTCGTCCTTTAGATTCTTATTTTACCTTCTTCCTTAATGTCCTTTCTTTCTTATTTTCATTTCTTTCCTCTCGCTCCTTCATTATCTTCCGAATAACCCTTTATAATAATAATAATGATTGTTAACTAGTAATTACCAAGCACACATACTAAAAAATTGTTTCGATACCAAATACAGATTCTGTGATAAATATCCAGAAACAAATGACCATTTTGTATCAGGTTGCAGTGATGATAGCGTAGACCAATATCTGCACAGGAAAATATGCAACTCTTACGGGAAGTAAACTGCAAGTAATTGGTAGAAACATCACCCAGACCCGGTTAGAGAGATAGGACCTTGTAAAGGTTTTATGACACTTTAAAATACAGACAGACAGAACAGTCAAAGCACATCCCCCAGACATAGTGTTCAAAGAACACAAGAACAGAATGTGCTTTCTTATTGACATGGCAGTCACTGCAATGTATCTTTGAAAATCTTCAAAAAATATCAAAATACAAGGATCTTGAAATGGAAATCTCAAAAATATGGCACATGATGACATCAATAATTGCAGTTGTAGTTGGAGCCCTCGGATTGATTCGAAAAGGGTCCAATAGACTCATTGAATGGATTCCTGGTAGCCAATGCTTTAAAGAAATACAAAAGCTTGTACTCACAAGTACAGCTCACACATTACGAAGAGCTTTATCTATGTAAAATGTGTGTGATCTTAGGTTTTTTTTTTTTTTGTTTTTTACAAAAATGATCAGTGGAAAATGTCATGTAGCCATTTCTGACCTTAGGTCTCTGGTTGGGATCCGGAAGGAAATGTATATACAGCAAAGATCAAAGGAAATAATGATAATAATAATAATAATAATAATAATAATAATGACGGGTTATTCGTTTCCGAGCACAGCCCGTCTACTAAGCAAACGTCTGCTCAAGTTGTGTTTCTTCAGTAATCATAGAGCCCATATCCGGGTTCTACTGCAACTATTGCTGAGCGGACTGTAGTTAGTTTCTGGGAGAGAGCGTATTATCTGACCTGATCAACAATTTGAAGAAGGCCAGTACACTCGAAATCCTCGGTCACGATCACTTTCGTACATTTTTTAAACTAATCTTCCCCCTATGCAAGACCTAAGAGCCACTCAAGGTAGAGAGCTACTAAAGCCAGCGGTTGCATGAGAGGTAAAAGGTGCAGTTTATTTATTCAGATACTTTATCACTTCCTCAGATCGATTTATGAAATTAACACGCTGCCCACACGCAGTTTATTCGGATATGTGGCAGAGATAACGTTTAACCCTAAACTTGATGAGGTTAACATTACATTGGTTGGGAAAGCATCCTCTTGGGAGTCTCTTCTACAAAGTAGCGATTTGTAGAAAGAAGCTGTTCGAGTGGAACTTATTTCTTTCAAATGGAATGATAAGTGAATGACGGTGGTTCGTCTCAGTGGACGCGGCTTGGCGGGTCTTAGCTGCGAGGCTTAGCGTTGGTGGAACTAAGGAATGTAGCTGGTCAGAACATTTTCTATGGATACGTACAAGCATACCTGGTAACTGCCACATCTTACTAAGATCATCACCCTCCACATCACTTGTAATGGCTTCCGTCTCGTTTTGTCGTTCATGGCCCCTAAGATGTCTCCTGAGACCAATATTTCATTTCAGAGGTCTCATGCATATATGACATAAATTCTGTATACGTCATTGGGTTGATTGGAAGAGTATGGCTGACAGCTCTCCTGTCTACCACCATGTTTCAGTCCAAATGATTATCTGCTAATCTTGTTGCAAACAGCACAGGTATTACTGTGAGGACGATGATGCAGGTTGACATTGTAGTTCAGTGCGCAAACACATGTTTATCTAACTCAGTCAATTAATAGGCATACGTGAACCACGCTTGGGCGACCATATCTCGTCAAACGATATGGCACTTTTAAATAAAATCATACCTGCAGGACGCAAATAGTAAAAGTGAGAAGCCAAGATGACAGAATGTCTTGAAACAACGAGATAAGATGCTGAGATATAGGCATGTCATTAGATTATCGTAACAAACGCTTATGCAAAATGGTTGCCATTCTCTGAGTCTCCATAATTAATATCCAGTGACAAGCTAAACCAAGATAACTAGCAATCACTTTAACCTCAGGTTTGGCTGAATTTCCCTTCTCGTCTACTTTCACATATTTATATATGCATATACGTGCACATACATAACATTATGCTGCATATGCAAGATAGTCATTGATCCCACTAGAGGATTCATTGTCAGGTCTTATTTTTCGCCCTATTGTCACCCTTCTTCCCAGACAAACCAGGTGGGTGGACCGGTTTAGTCGCCGATAAACAGATTATGCATGCATACATGCAGTATTGATATATAAATTGTTATATAGGAATAAAAATGACATTTCAGTTTGAACATCGATCGCCAGTGAGCAAACACAGACGATCCCATTATTGAATTAAGTGGATCACGTGACCATAGAAGATACGCATAATGAGGAATTAGCGTGACGTCTAAACGATCCCTATTTCTAGTCTATCCTCTATTACTATACGGACCGCTATTCTCTACTCTATTCACTATACTATTTCTCTGTTCGGATCACTATACGGATTACTTTCCGAGAGAGTGTTATCGAGCAAGTACTATTAGTGCGAGTGTTATTCAAAGGCGTCTGACACCAGTATTGTTCAACGGCGTTACTATAATTGTATCTGCGATTACAAAGTCTCTACTACAACGAGCATTACAAAAGTAACAACGAGTATTCGTTGGAATTACAAAAGTAGCAACGAGTGTTCGTTGAGTCACAAAATAAATACATACATGCAGTGTTGATTTCTGTGTTCCCATTGTCTACATCGAAAAATGCTGTATCTTCGATGGCGATCTTGTATTTGATTGATTCGTTTTTTACGGCTTATCAACCCCTTGCGGTTTACTTAAAGCCAGAAAATATTTTTAAAATGGAATTTTCTTTTTCGAGATAAGTCTTACTAATGAACACATAGCTGGGGGAGAAGAGCTGGATTCATACATTTCCCAAAGGTATTTATGCATAAGGAATTGGAACTATGCTCTCCGATTTTTAATTCCGAGCCATTATCCATTATACCACCCGCACATCTCAACTTACAACACCCGATATTCCCAAGCGGTCACCCATTTAGGTTGCGACTAGGCTCTATGTTGTTTAACTGTGGTGATCGTACGGGAACCGGTATTTCAACATGATATGATCATATTTTAGATTTTGGTTTTTGTTGATTGATTCTTCTTTATGGATTATCAACCCTTTATAGGTTATTTAAGGCCGGGAAATATTTTTAGGTTGTAAGATTTTTTGAGATAATAATAATTTAGTAATACCAGTGTGACTAATTAACACATAACTCGGGGGTAATAGATTCATGCCTTTTTTAAGGGTACTTGTGCATAAGTGAATATAACTAACCCAACTGGAATAAGAACTCGCCTCCCCGATTAACAATTCCGAGCCATTATCAATTACACCACCTGCACATCTCAATTTAAAGCACTTGATATTTCCAAGAGGTCACCCATTTAGGTACTGACTAGGCTTGACGTTGCTTAACAAAGGGTATTTGCGCGTGTGAATATAAGGAATGCAACTGGAATTGAAACTCAGCTGTACTTTCTATTGCATCACCTGCACATCCGAACTTACAGCACTTGGTATTCCCAAGCGGTGAACATACAGGAACCGATGTTACAACGTGATATGGCCGTAATACTTAAAATCTATATTAACCAACTAATTTTTGTAAAATATTCAGGATATAATTTATACTTATATAAGAGATATATTGTGTGATTATCAACTTATAATACCTGTTCTTAAGATAAATATTGATAACAACTTTTGTGACGTATCCGTTTTTATTATGCAAAAACAAGTAGGACATAAAATTTTATTTATGAATAAATTCAAAAGATATAAAACGTCAGAACATTTATCTGATTAACACAATAACTTATATGCATGAATAAATTATTTAGTTTTTGCAAGTTAATAAGAGTCCTTTGCATTCTTCATACTTCGTCTTTTTTTCAGTGTTGATTGTGCTGACTTTACTATTTCAACATTATAATTTGCAACAGTTTGTATTACTTGACAGACGACTTCGTTCAAATATTGTTTTATCTTCTCATATATTAAGTCGTTCGGAAAATTATTTGCAAATAAAGGCACAAGTAATATAAATAAGGGAAACTACATTGTAATTAACCAATCTCTAACTATATATATATATTTTTTAGTTATTTCACTTCAAGCACTACAACTTTTTCAAGCATCTTGGCAATTTTTATAAGTCAAAAGATATTTCGTTGCAATTCAGTTGCAGAAATGGTCAAAACTTTAGAATTTTATTGTAAGGCATGCATAACATCGTAACTTGATGGTTGAAATTGCATTCAACGATTTCTTGTAATCCCAAACTTTTTGAGTTTTGGAGTTAAGGGTTACATAACCTTGTAACACGTTGGTCAAAATGTATAGTTGCTTAGCGTTCCTATTTTGACCGATTTAAACACTGTTTAAATACATTAATTCAGAAATAAAAGTTGATTCTAAAATCGGACATTGTTTTCCGAACAACACAATACAACCTTTTTTTCAGATCAATGATTAAAAATGGCTTCAAACGAACGAATATTTTAGGGTCTTAAAGAAGACAATCCTTCACAATCGTGAACAAAGAACTTTACTAAATAATAAAAAAAAGAAGCACATCCCTTGAAGACTTCCAACAGCAGCAACAAGTAAAATGAGTAGAACTAGAAGGAAAATACAGTGTAACCCGGATATAAGAGACCCGGATATAAGAGAAACCCGGATATAAGAGAGATTTTCTCTGGTCCCAAATTAGAGCCTGTGTTAATGTATATAAAATAGACCAAACTCGGATATATTCTCCGGTCCCGACAACTCTCTTATATCCGGGTTACACTGTAATGATATAATCAAGTTGTTGAAATTCCACACTAACGAAAGACAAAGTCTTGGAAATGAAAAGAGTGCTAGAAAGAGCAATAACAGTTAGTGGACTTGAAAAAATCTATTTTTTCGGAAAACTATTTTAAGAGAAAGATTATATATATGTAAGTCAACAGTAATGCTGTTTGGTTAATGAATAGCAAACGATTACTGTATGGAAACGGTTTATCTCACCATAACAATCTCTTAGAGGATCGTGGCATTTGCGTTAATTTGCCGTCTTTGAAATTTTTTTGTTATGGTGCCAATAGTGATTTTTTCTGGATGTGAATGAACATCCTGACTATACTTGGCTGGATATATTATTTCGATTAAAGCTCCTTAGTTGAGATCTGTACCATTCAAGAACTGGTTCATCCAATATAGCTCTACATTCATAATCAAAAATTAGTTTTCATTCTTCAACTTATACGTTCATGTGATATTTACTTAGAGGTAGTAGTTTAGTTAAATTATGCAAAAAAAATTGATAAAATACGTTAAAAGAAATTATTAAATCTGCTAGGTAACTGTTATGGGGACCTACCTTCATGGACAAAATAGACTCGTCTTATGACTATATAATGCCTCGCAAGAGGACTGTAGACAGCAGACGAGTTGACTGCGTGTACGTCTTCTGTGTCTGACTTCTGTTGAACTCTCTGCTTTGGCAGAGAGGAACCCGGACGAAGCTTTGCCGAAGGGCAAAATTTCGTCCGGGGAGGTAGACAGGCCCTGAACCCGTCTAGCCGGGTTCAAAGGGTATATTTTTTAGCCGGGCCTACGGGCTCGGATAAAACCACGTTAAACTCGGCCTTGTGCCACATACATTCGGAGGTGCAACACTGCTGTACTCGTTCTTTTTGTTAATAATACTTTTTCACTGAATTGCTGAGTTTCGAGTTATTTTTCGGACCTCTTCCGGGTCCACAACAGTAACCATGGCATATTTAGGAAGGATGTTAGAATCATCAACAACATATACTGTCAGAAACCTATCTGCATATGGAAAGAAATTTTATTGAGTAAATATACAAAAATAGAAAGGGGTTTAAGGCAAGGTTGGGTCTTCTCACCGGACTTATTTAACCTATACAGTGAGGCGATTCTGAGAGAATTAGAAGTCCTACATTGGAACAGGTGAGAATCCTTTTCTTCTCCCGCAAGTTATGTGTAAATAGCATGACAGACCAGGTTCTGTAGCCTTGGATGGCAACTGGTCTACCGCAAAAAGAAATGGCAAACTACTGCTGGGAAAAAATCTGCCTCGTCAGTCATGTATCGAAAGATACATGATGGTCTAAGCGTGTATCACGCATGGCACATAACTGACGGATTATCATTGTAAATATATGGAATTAGATTATAAAAACTGAGAGTGTATTATCATATATATATATATATATATATATATATATATATATATATATATATATATATATTACAGATTTTCTTAACATCAGTTGGTCATTTATTAGTTTTTATTATCATTACGAGGCACGGTGAAATAATAGATAGCGGCTTGGATTGTGGAATCGGAGAGCCGAGTTCGAATTCCAGTCCGATCCATTACATTCACTTACGTGCTAATACCCTTGAGAAAGGTATGAATCCTGTTCTTCTCCACTCAACTATACGTAAGTAGCAGAACAGACCGGATTCTATAGCCTTGGATGGCAACTGGTCTACCGCAGAAAGAAATGGCAACCTATTGTGCGGAAATAATCTGCCTCGTCAGTCATGTATGGAAAGATACGCATGGCACATAACTGACTGAGCAGGATTCATTATTGGCGGTCAAAATCTTAACAACATAATATATGCAAGAGACACAGGTTTTATAGCAGACACAGAAAAGAAACTACAAGACATCTTATAGAAGGTAGTGTATGAAAGCGAGGCTAAACATCAGTTGCAAGGAGACTGAATACATGGTCATCAGCAAAAGGAACGACCCAACATACAAATTTCAAATTGGAGATACCAAAATCAAACAAGTAAACAGTTTAAATATCAGGGAAGTGTTTTAACAAAGGATGGAAACTCAAATCCGAAGGTGCATTCAGATAACAACGGATGCCTGTCAAAAGCTAAGCAAGGTACTAAGAAACAGAAAATTTTCGTTACAATGTTACGTAATATCAGTCTTCCTATACGGCAGTGAATGCTGGACAATCTCCTACTGTATGAAGAAGAGAATTAAAGCAACAGAAATGTGGTTCTGTAGAAGGATGCTAAGAATATCATGAACCGAACATGTGAGCAACGACGAAGTTTTAGAGAAAATGGAAACAAAAGGACATTTATACATAACTTCAGAAAAAGACAACTGAAATTTCTAGGACACATAATGAGTTGTATTGCAAAATATGATATTCACAGGGCAGCCCTTAATATATCCGAAATTTAAACCAATAAACCAATAAATATCAGTAACCATCTCATTATATATATATATATATATATATATATATATATATATATATATATATATATATATATATATATGTGTGTATGTATGTATGTATATATATATATATATATATATATGTGTGTGTATATATATATATATTTAAATAACAAGGACGCCATTTTATTAATCAAACCATTTTTTTTATTTTATAGACATACTGCACCTGAGATATCTTTCCGCCAACACTTATTCATAGGTAACGCGTTGGTACATTATTTATTAGTATAAAGAGGACACATATATTGAAATATTTACTAAAATGGAAGAAGAGTCCAAGCTCGTTTAAAATTAAATTTAATGAAAATATAATTAAAACGTAAAGGGGATGTAAATCTCAGAAAGCTCGGAAAGAGTTAATAAAAGGGAAAAAAAATTGAACTCACAATCCTTCCAGGAGTTTTAATGATCTTGTGATATATATATTTGCGAAATGTTGAATAACACGCAAGCTGCGTATAGAAATCACAATACGACTCATATGTTATTGGAAATATTTCTAACAGAAACAGATAATATGGAATTCACCCATCTTTAAGATTTGATCAGCTGATTAATACTATATTTAATATGAAAACATTGGACTGCGTGATAAAATATAACAACTTTTATCAACGATGCTAGATGTTAGATACTTTATTATTTAGAGTGATAATATATACATACATACACACACACGCGTGCGCGCGCACACACACACACACACACACATATATATATATATATATATATATATATAATACACTTTAACAAACAGGGACGTCTTGTTAAAC